TTCCGATCAGCGATGGCGGATTGGAGATTTGCGCTGCCTACCATACCCTCATGCGAAATGGAGGATGTGCCGTAAGACCAGTCAAATTGCAGGCGATGATAGTTGTCAATCTTCTTCTGAGGTGTTCCGATGCCATTTTTCCGAAACATATACATCTCCCGTTTCTTTAGGGTACTGCAAGGAGTCAATGTCCCTTCTCTGTAAATTGCAAACTAATTTCTCTGAGTTTCATAATCTATGGCATGTTGATCTATTAGAAATCCAATGAGAGGCTGGAGCTTGATATACTTGTGATATTGGGTGATATCGCGGCTAAGAGGCCGGAGCTTGGGAAGGGTGACTGCTCAGCTGTGTTGCAGCAATTACATCTACTGATTGGTCCATTTGATGGAGTTCTAGTTGTTGGTCTCGGAGAAATGCTATGAATTATTTGCCAAAATTGCAAACAACTTATCCAAAAAATATGACGTTCGGAATCCAGATGCAGTGTTACGTTCGGAGTCCAATGAGATGAAGTCAACTGTGTAGTATGGTCCTACAACGAAAAAAAAAAACGCTCATTTAGCTTGACTCGGCCCGAATTATCGGCCCCACCACGGGCAAAATTTAAAATACGCATTTTGTCGTGCATATTCGGCTCGAATCGAGCCCAAAGAAACAACGATCAAGAAAAAAAACACCTTTATGACATATTTCAACATTTTATTAGGCGCTCTTCAGCGGTTTTCGGTTTCGGTGGTTTCGAGCATTCTTCTTTGCTTCTTCTCCTGCGGTTTCGCTTCCTCTTCGACGCAAGACTCCTTTGCACCTCTTCGCAAAGTCGGTTTCGCCTTCTTTCAACGTTACGCAAAGTCGGTTTTGCTTCCTCTTCGGCGCAAAACCTGGTGTTTATAAATTAGAGCATCACATCGTTTGGAATCACATAATTCAAAGTTTTGGTTTTCTTCTTCTCTTACTAGCATACAACAATGAAAGGTCGCAAGGAAACTGAAAAAACTAGCGGTCTGTCAAAGTCTTCGAGGTATTATGCTACATTGTTTATTATAAGTAACAAGATAATTTGTTTTATTGTGTTATTTTATGTTATAGTTGTGTTATTATTGTGTTATTATTGTGTTATTGCGGTGTTACTCGTGTTATTACCTTACTAACACCACAATAACACCAATAATACATTTATAACACTCAATAACACAATAATAACATAACAATATCACAATAATAACACATTAATAATATAACCATAACACAATAACACAAAAATAATACTGTAATAATGTGAAAATGGGTGATTGAAGAATGTTGTCTATAAAATAATGTCCTCTTTTATATTAATGCTGTTGTAATTTTTTTAACACAAAAACTTTCAATTATAGATGCCGTCCTTCTGCAGTAAAGGGCGCACTTGATACTGTTATACATAATATCTCCTCCGAGGAGATCATGAACTTGTTGAAAGAAATAAATGTCATTCAATTTTTTGATGTCTTCTTATCCCTATGATAATGTATTGAGCATACATATCTTGAGATTTTATAATTATAAAGTAATGTTTTTAATGGTGAGAAAGTGGTAAAACTCCACCTTGACTATGTTGCTCTGTTATTAAACAGAGGAAAAAAAGTTAGTTGAAAGAAAACTTCGTCGTCTCGTGTAGATACTAGAGAAATAAATAAAGAGTTAATAAAGTTTTCAGAAGTGTATTTCACTCATTTTGAGCAATTATTTCTTATATTTTTATTAACAAATTTATTTTTTCTCTCGAACAATTTTAGTGTGCGCGAAAGATTTTATTCATTTGAGGAGAATATACAGTTATTTTTCTCTTTTAACCGGTTTGCTGTCACTGATTAATTGAATATTGTCACGATCAAAATAAGACGAAATCAATCACTTGGATAATCAACGAATTTATTTTTCTTTTAACAGTAAGTGCATATTATAAACATTAAAAAATTTTTCTTATGATTTTTTTTTATTTTTGAGTTTGTTTGTGATATGCTTTATTCTCAATTTTGGTTTTATAAGCACACATTTTTATTTACTCTTGTCACTCCCGAGGCTAGACTTCGCATGCTAAGGTGACCAACAAGTCATTGGTGGACAACACCACAAATTCATGAAGTCTTTAAGTGCCTTGAAAATGTACAAATAAGTTATTTATTGCATTAAAAATTTTTTTTAGTGTTAGGGTTTTTTAGGTTGTTTTGCTGAATTTATTTTGGACATTATGATTTTCATTATAGGTTAATGAAACTTTTTTAGACTTGAAAAAATATTAACTCTAGTTGCTCCCTAATTCAAACTAGGGACCACCCAGTCCTGCTAGGCCATTACCACGCATAAAACTCTGATCGGACCATCGTCACCCAAATCTTATGGCGTAAGTCCAATTATTTCAAGCGATGTTACCCTAGAAGCAACATATACAAGGGAAAAAAATGAATTTGAAGCAATAATCGAGCTACTTAAAATTCAGGAAAAAAATAAGTATAAACCTATAAAAATCAATGATTACCATGAATAAACAATTGTCCAATATAGAAGACACATTGTCCAACCTAACATCTATGATTCAAAGATAAGAATAAACCAAGGTTGATAAATAGGTTGAGAGAAAGACTCAAAAAACAGATCAATCATCTCTTCGAATGGATAAGTCCAGCGACAGTAGAAAAAATAGGAAGTTGGGTTTCCCTGAAAGACAATACCTATCAAAGATAACAAAGAGGGTTACTGATGTTGTTGAGGAACATCCTGGAGAAGATGATGTAGATATTAAGGAGAAAAATAATGAGAATTTATTTGTATATATCAAAGATGTAGAAGAGCTTGAAGCTCAAAAGGGTTAAGAGACAATAAAAAATGCACAAGTCGATGTACTGGGGATGACACAATGCAAGAAGAGCACGCTGAAGTTGAACGAGCGGTAAAGTTTCTTCTTGAGTCTTTGTCCCATACGGTAAATGACTCATTCTATTATGTAACATATCATTTAACTTGATATTATATTTAATAACTATTGTTCTTTTGTAGACTTGTATTGCATTGTCTGTTGTAGACATTGAAGTCCGAGAGGATAAAAAACCAATAAAAGATGCACAAGTCGATGCTGTAACTGTGGATGAGACACTACAAGAAGTTTCCGACCAAGTCGAACGACCAATACATGATGTTCTTAAGCATCTGTCCCTTGCGGTAAAAAGCTCATTTTATTCTGTACCATGTTATTTAACTTGATAATATGTTTAATAACTTTTGTTCTTTTGTAGACTCGTATTTCGACATCTGTTATAGATACTGAAGCCCAAGAGGGTCAACAATCAGAAATGAATTTAGAAATAGTATTGATTGAAGGTTAACTTATAATGAAATCAGTTGTATAGTATATTGAATTAGAAAAAACTTCTAATAAAGTTAAGTTAAACAGACAATATATTCGTGAAACAATTGCAATGACAATCTTAAGTTTAAGAAGCTCTGTAGACATCCCTAGTCATAGCCGCAACTACTATACAGACGACTATGCTATAGTGATACAAAAATTAGTTCTTTCTAGTGTGAACCACATCTTAAATTTTTTTGTTGTAGTTTATAAGTTTTGTTTTCTTTTGCAGCCTCGTCTTGTGACGCCTGTCATTGAATTCCCGGTAGATAATTGGTACCAGTTGAGATGGAGGATGTAATCGATGACTGTATTGTCAGATGCACCAGGGAGTAAGTAAATGTTCATAACAGTTTTAATGTTATGCAATAGTTTATATTCAATTGTCACAATTTTTTTTGTTAATGATGCAAATATGATATTATCGTTAATAAATGTTATGAGACTGTAATCGACCGCACGGGCCTAGAGGATGTATTGTTGAATAAGTGGTTTGCAAACGAACATGTCGATATTTTTACTAACATATTGCATGAAAGAACGATCGGGTCACATGAGCTATACAGATAATACATCTATGTAATGCCGCAATATTGGATAATTACACAAGTTTAATTTAACCATATATTTTAACTCATATATTCTTTCTGTACTCAATTCAAAGTATCATTTTATGCAGATGTATAAGAAATTTAATAAGACAGTTTTTTTGCAATATATCACAAAGAAAACTGTTAAAGATGTTAAAATAATATTATTTCATATCATTGATAATCAACATTGAACTTTGTTGGAGGGAGAACTAAAATTGAGAAAATGAAGATTATATAACTCTCTACCCAACAAGATGCATAAAGATATTATTCGCGAAGTTGTAAGTATATTTAACACAATTATTATTATTTTTGCACCGTTGGAGTCAATATTTTCAGTAATACGCTAATAACACACCAATACCATACAAATTTCACGCCAATATCACATCAATATCACAAAAAAAAATACGCTAACAACACACTAATAACACTCCAATAACAAATCATAACCACACCAATACCACTCCAATACAAATCAATAACAAAAATAACAGAATCATAACACACTAATAACATATCCGTAATACACTAATAACGTAGCTATAATACATTAATATCACACCAACAACAACACACGAATAAGGCAACAATAACATAGCCATAACACCAATGACTGTGTTATTGGTGTGTTGTTGATGTGATATTGGTGTGGTAATGATGTATTATTGGTGTGTTATTGTTATGTTATCAGTGTATTTATTAATGTGTTATTTGTGTATTATTGGTGTGTTATGACTGGATTATTGTTGTGTCGTTGTTGGTTTGTTATTGGTGTGGTATTGGAGTGATATTGGTGTGATATCAGTGCGGTTTTGTGTTATTGGTGTGTTTGTTGATGTGTTATTGTTGATGTGGTATTGATGTGGTATTTGAGTGATATTGATGTGGTACTTGCGTAGTATTTGCGTGTTGCTGATGGTATTGACTCCAATAACGCAAATATAATAATAATTATGTTAAATATACTTACAACTTCGCGAGCAACATTCTTATGCATTTTGTTGGGTAGAGAGTCATATAATCTCAATTTTCTCAATTTCAGCTCTCCCACCAACAAAATCCAACGTTGATTATCAATGATATAAAATAATATGATTTCAACATCCTTAAAATTTTTCTTTGTGAAATGCTGCAAGAAAGCTGTTTAATTAATTTTTTTATGCATCTGCATAAAATAATATTTTGAATTGAGTGTACATGGAAGATATGAGTTAAATTTATATGGATAAATTAAATTTGTGTAATTACCCAATATTGCGATGTTACATAGATTTATGACCTGCATAACTCAGGTGACTCGATCGTTATTTCATGCAAAATGTTAACAAAAACATCAACATGTTCGTTTGCAAACTACCTGTTCAACAATACATCCTTTAGGTCCGCGCGGTCGATTATCATCTCAAAACCTTTGTTAACGATTATATCATGACTCATCATTAACAAACAAAGCTTGTGAAAATTCAATATAAAACTACTGCATAACATTAAAACTACTGCATCTCAACTGGTACCAATGATCTACCAAGAAATTTAATGACAGATGCCGTAGGATGAGACTGTAAAAGAAAACAATACTTATAAACTACAACATGAAAATTTAAGATGCATTTTACACTAAAAAGAGCTAATGTTTTGTATCATTATAGCGTAGTCCTCTGCATGGGAGCTACGACTTTGGCTAGAAATGTTTACAGGGCTTCATAAATTTGAGATTGTCATTGTAATAATTTCACGAATATAATGTCTGTTTAACTCAACTTTATCAGGAGCTTTTTCTAAGTCAATATACTAAACATTTGACTCCATTATTGATTGATCTCCAATCAGTGTTATTTCTAAATTTATTTTTTATTGTTGACCCTCTTGGGCTTCAGTATCTACAATAGATGTCGCATGACGAGTCTACAAAAGAACAAAAACTATTAAACATAATATCAGGTTAAATAACAGGGTACAAAATAGAATGAGCTTTTTACCGTAAGGGGCAGAGGCTCAAGAACATCATGTACTGATCGGGATTTTCTTGTAGTGTCTCGTCCCCAATTATAACATCGTATTGTGCATCTTTTATTGTTTCTTGGCCCTCTTGGGCTTCAGTATCTACAACAGAAGACGCAAGACGAGTCTACAAAAAAATAATAATTATTAAATATAATATAAAGTTAAATGATATGGTACAAAATAGAATGAACTACTTACCGTATGTGACAGAAACTCAAGAAGCTCCTTTACTGTTTGTTCAACTTCGGCAAACTTTTCTTGTATTGTGTCATCCCTAGTTACAATATCGTCTTGTGCATCTCTTAGTCTCTTGGCCCTTTTATGCTTCAAGTTCTTCTGAATCTTTGGTATGTACAAATAAATTCTTATTATTTCTCTCCTCAATATTCACATCATCTTCTCAAGAATGTTCCTCAACAACATCTGTAACTCTCTTTATTGTCTTTGACAGGTATTGTAACCTAACTTCCTCTTCTTTCTACTGTCGCTGGACTTACCCCTTCGGAGAGATGATTGGTCTGTTCCCGAAGTCTTTATCTTAACCTCTTTATCAGTTTTTTGTTTCTTCTAATCTCTGAACTATAACTGTTAGGTTGGACAATGTGTTTTTTACATTAAATAATTAGTTATTCATGATATTCATTGATTCTTGTATACGTATATTCATTTTTCCTGAGCTTTAAGTAACTTGATTATTGCTTCAAATTTATTTTTTTCTCTTGTATATGTTGTTTCTAGGGTAACATCGCTTGAAATAAGTAGATCCACGCCATAAGATTTGGGTGATGGTAATCCAACCAGAGTTTCATGGCGTGGGAGTAGCCTAGCAGGACTGGGTGGTCCCTGGTCTGGATTGGAGAGCAACTGTAGCTCGTCCTCTTTCAAGTATAAAAAAGAGTCATTAACCTAAAATAAAAATCATAATATCCAAAATAAATTTAGTAAAATAACCTTCAAAAAAACCTAACACTAAAAAAAACTTTTAATGCAATAAATGACTTACTTGTATATGCTCATGCCTCTTAAAGACTTCATGAATCCGTGGTGTTGTTCACCCATGACTTGTTGGTCACCTCAGCATGCGAGGTCTAGTCTCGGGTGCGGCATGAGTAAACAGAGACGTGTGCCTATAAAATCAAAGTTGAGGATTAGACATATCACAAACAAACTTGTTAGAAAGAAAAAAACAAAAACATAGTCACAAGGAAAATTTTTTAATGTTTATAATATGCACTTACTGTTAAAAGAAAAACAAATTCCTTATAGTATCAAAGTGACTGATTTCGCCTTATTTTGATTGTGATAATGTTCAATTGATCAATCATAAAATCACAAATAACAACATGTCAGTTAAAAAGGGAGAATGACTGTATATTCTCCCAAAATGAATAAATACCTACAGACACACCAAAATTGCTCGAGGGAAAAAATAAGTTTATTAGTAAAAATTTAAAAACTAATTGCTCAAAATGAGTGGAAGAGTCTCCTGAAAACTTTATCAACTTTTTCTTTATTTCTCTAGCATGTACATGAGACGACAGAGTTTTCTTTCAACAACTGCTTCTTCTCCGTTGCTCATGCCTAACAATAGCGCAACATGGTGATGATGAAGTTTTATTACTTTCCCACCCATCATAAACACTTCACTTTCATGATTCCAATATCTCAAGATATATAGGGTCAATACATTATCTTGGGGATAAGGAGGTATATCAAAAACTGAATGATATTTATTTCTCTCAACAAGTTCATGTTCTTCTTAGAGTCGTCGTGTTTAATAGTATCAGTGCACCCCTTACTGCAGAAGTACGAAATTTACAATTGGAAGTTCTTGCGTTCATAAACCTATAACAACAGTAATGTAAAAGTTGACATTATTTTGTATACATCATTTTTCAATCACTCATTTTCACATTATTACAGTGTTATTGTTATGTTATTGTGTTAAAGTTATGTTATAGATTTGTTATGATTGTATTATTGTTGTGTTATTAAGTGTTATAGATATATTATTGGTGTTATTGTGGTGTTAGTAAGATAATAATACTAGTAACACTGCAATAACATAATAATAATGCACCAATAACACAACCATAATACATCTATTACACAACTATAACACAATAACACAACAATAACATAACAATAAAACAAACATAACACATATATAACACAATAACACAACAATTACACAATAATAACACAAATATAACACAATGAAACAAATTATATTGTTATGTATAATAAACAATGTATCATAATACCTCGAAGATATTGACAGACCGCTAGCTTCTTCAGTTCCCTTCTGACCTTTCATTATTGTGTGCTAGCAAGAGGAAAGGAAAACCAAAACTTTGAATCGTGTGGTTCCGAACAACAAAATACTTTAACTTATAAACACTAGGTCTTGCGTCGAAGAGGAAATGAAACTGAATTTAAACGTTGGAAGACGACGAAACCGATCTTGCGAAGATATGCGAAGAAGGAGAAACCATTCAAGAAACCTCAGGTATTGCGCCAAAGAGGAAGCGAAAACATCGAAGAGGAAGCGAAGAAGAACACTCGAAACCACCGAAACCAGAAACGACAGAAGAATGCCAAAAAATGCCATAAAGGTGTTTTTGGTCTGGATTGGCGTTTCGTTGGGCTAAATTCGGGTCGGGTTTGCGCAAGAAAACACATTTTAAATTTTGTTGGCGGTGGGGCCAAGGATTCGGGTCGGGTCACACCAAATGAGCGTTTTTTAAATTTTTTTGGGCAGTGGGACTAGGCTACACAGTTGGCTTCTTCTCAATGAACTCCGGACGTAGCTTTGCGTCCGGACGGAGTCCGTACGTAATATTTTTTCTTGAGAATGTGAGCATATTTTTTTTTTATTAATGACGTTTCTTTACTTTGCCATTGCTGTGCGTTTAGGTGTTGAAAAGCTTGAAGAGAGTGAAAGTTTTGATGTAAGACAACAGCCGAAGGATTCGCAGCTCGAAGCTGCTGCGTCTGATGAGATAAACATGCACAGCGATTGCTTCCCTGCATTGAGTGGTTATCCTCCTCCTGATTCGGGGCCTGTTGTTTTACTTCTCATCCCTCATGGCTGTGCATCAGAATAAAACTTTGGAAGAAACAATATTTGTTATGAAAATCTTCAGAGATGTGAACGCAAAGGTACTGACCATGCTGATGGTGGTAGCATGTTTTTGTTTCTTCAGTTCTTTGTCAAGTTTTTTGTGAATTCATTGTCCTTTTTCTTAATGATTATATTTCAAAAACCTTAATTCAGAGAAATATTTCTCTTTTGATCATATCTTAACTCATGTTTCGATAAAAACCTTTCTAGTTCAATATATAGATGATTCTAATTTGGTTGTAGGTATTTGGCAATGTTTAAATTATGCAACTCTTATTCTTGACTATTTTCATGACTTGAAATATCTCCCTTTAGGCCAAAGAATGTTTCTGTAATGCACACGAGTTAGCTCAAACATGATAATTCGTTAATCATCAAATGGCAAGTTTTAAATGCAGTATGAAATTTGGAAAGGTCATTAGATAAAAATGCACAAACCAAATCCACCTAGACTTTTCTATCTAATTCTTTCTGACAAAAGCTTCAAGATTAGTTGCTAGGGCAGTATAAACTATGGGAGAATGAGCAGAATAGGAGATTTATTTTGAAAATCAAAATATTTTATCTAATATTGCTAGGATGTAGTTTAGGAGATGAAATTTTGCCGAGTCAATTTAGTAGGATGACTATCAGGTTTGTGCTGTAACTTATAATTAGGTTAAGGAGTATTTATTGCTTGTGTGATATCAAAATTTCGCAATATTAGGAAAAAAACTGCTAATTTTCAGTTTGATTGATCTCTTAATCTTAGAAGTTGTGCTAAACCACATGCAGAAACATCGGTACTTGTATGATTGAAGCTTAATGGCAAACTATGTATATTTATAAAGAGATTAAACTCCTTAAGAACACAGTAATTTCCGTGGTATGACACTAAACATTTTTTTTTCACAAGAGAGGTGGGGGAATCAATCCGCTAAGGAGCACTAAAAGGCATATCAACCATCAATTGGTACAAGTAAAGCTCTTCGTAGCGCTCGCGCCCAACTGAACCCAAGTCATCTCCAGAAAAGCACCCAATATCACAATCTGAGCTATAATCTTTTTTATAAATAAGAAGAAAAGAGATGTTGTTATATATGTATCTGTCTAAATAAGTTGATTCTATTTATTTCTTCTGCACCGAACAACTGGTTTGTCGGCTAAATCTGAGAATAGAGCTTTAATAGGTTGCTTCACCCTAAGCTTGAAAGATCTATGAGTTGCTTTTTTATCTCGTGTAACTGTTCATCGCCACGAGACATGCAGGATTTGAATGTTAGAAGTTCTAAGTCACCTGTTTATCTAATGTATTTGGTCAACGCAAGCAGAGTAAGAGTGCATGCTCCAACATAATGGGCTAAACCACAACAATATGGAAAGTAATTGTAATATTGATGAATTTTGATATGAATATGTTTGTATGAGTTTAATAATAATGGTAGATTAATTAATAGGGTAATTATCCTAAGATTGTCACCCACTTGGAAAATATGATGATATAAAATGAATAAATTTGTTTTCACCACCTCTATCTATGTTTATTTGTTACTTCCCCCCTTATATTGGGACCTTAAGCAAGTTCAATTTGCTCTGATAGGATTGACGATTCTATCATTGGTGTGATTGCTCCACCATTGCATATTTCCCACATATGATTGCACATCCCTCGGCGACCTTGGCCAGAGTTCAAATTCAACTTATCGAATTCCCTATTGATCACTTACAGTTCATCATTTCGTTGATCGAAGAAATTCATTTATCGTTGTCATTCTTTCCATCCAGAAATGCCCAAAGACAACCTGACATAATAGGTTTCATTGCTTTCACAAGTAGCCATATCTCTGATTCCATAAACTGTCATCATCTAAGGTTAAGTTGGACTTTCGTCTCAAGAAAAGCCTTCTAAATTTTCCAATATGAAAGATTAACTCACTAGCACCATTTCATCTATGCTTTCTTCACATCAAGATTTAGAAGGTTCAAAACCCGGCCTATCGCAACCCATTCATTAATTCCTTGTGATTCTTACTGATAGCCATCTTCAGACAGCCCATCGCAATTTATGTACAAGAATTTCTTTCCAGCCTCATCCATAGCTCACATCGATCCAAGATACACCTTCAATCTTGAAGATAGCATCATTACAGCTCTCAAACTCAACTGTGCAAAATATTTGTCTTCCTCTTCTTCACGAGTCTTGTGGCTTTTATTTACAATTGCCAGGCTTGTTGATTCTTGCCAGACGTCATCCTTCAAAATCAGACCTTAACTCGACTCAAGATTGTGCAATGTAGCGTCTTGAGCTACTATCTGCCTTTTACCTCCACATTATCTTGATTTTAGTCATCACTGAAAGCTTTAGGGCCCGTTTGGGGTAGCTTATAAGTGCGTCAGCGTTTTCAAAACGCTGCCGTCCTATTTAATAAACACGTTCGGATTGCATTTTGAAAACAACTTATTTGATTTCTTATTAAAAGCGAGCTGCGGCAACGACCCCACGTCCCGCGTTTTTTATTTGGCATTCGGAAATTATTCCATCGGTGCCCTTCTCCTCTCCGCTCCCTCGCTCGATCTCATGCCCAGCTTCCTTGGATCCAAGCCCTCAGTCGTTCGCACTCGAAACCTTCTCATCCATTCCACCCTCCGTCGTCCACAGATTGATCGAAGCCCCCACGGGCCAGTTTAGCTTGCCTTCAACACAATCCGGGAAGCAAGCTTCAATACAGCCGAGAAAAAAAAAATTTGATTTTTGTCCGCAGGGGCTTCCGATAAAGAAGAAATGGTAGAACAAAGCCACATTTTGATGCCCAGAGTAAAACTAGGATCCCAGACCCCAGGGTTTAGAGGGAGAAATCCCCTTTTTTTTTTTTTTTTTTTTTTTTTTTTTTGAAAATTGTTCTTAGCAATACTCGTGATCCCTAGGTGCTCCCTGCTTCCTTCAGCATTCCTAACAGCAGAAGCAATAGCGAATCCGCCCTCTCTGCCCTAGCTCGCGATTCCTAGCCTCTCTCTGCTTCCTTTGGCATTCAAGAAGAGAGAAATGTTCTGCTGCTTTTGTCTCTCAAATTACGCTGCGAATTCCTTGTTTTTTTTATATTCCTTTTCTTCTCTGCAGTTTCTGATTCTGTAGATACTCTAGATAATGGTGTCGACACTTGAAAACAAGGTCAAAAATGCCAAATCGATCGGTGAGTATTTTTCGTTCAATCTATGTTATTTCTTATAATTTGCATATTTTATTTGAAAAGTTTTGGATTTGATTTTGTTTTTGCATCGGAACTGCTGGGTACTTGTTCTACATGCACTGCATTCTTGGTTTCCTTTTTGTTTTTATGTTGGCAGAAATAGATTTAAGCAAGATTTTTTCAAAAAATTGGGCTATTCTTGTGCGATTCGATCCTGTTGACGTTCGTTGTTGATTGTTTTGCTAAAAGATTTTCCGGATTACATATGTTTTTTTGGCAAGAATCAAACTTTAGTTTTCATTTAACTTCGTTTATGCCGCCTTGTTTCCCTTCTTTATTTTTTTCTCTTAGGATTATAAAATTTTCATATTATAGTTTTGTGTTGATGGTAAAAAATAGTATTGAAATGAAAACCTTCTTCTTCCTTATGGTTTTTAACTAGTTTTCTGTAGCAGGATGCAATTTTGATTACATCTCGGTCGTTGGATTTCTATCGTTGACTTTGGGTAAAACAGGTACTTCTAGGAGATGTTGGAACTGACAAGTCAAGTAGTCAAGTATAGTCTTGCGCTTATAGTCTTGCGCTTTGTTAAAGGTCAATTTGTTGAATTCCAGGTTTGTATTCAATGGTGTTCTATGCCATCACGAGGAATTCAATTTTTTTGGGTGATTTATTTATGTTATTTATATTTTTTAAATTGCTTTGCAGGAATCAACAATTGGGGCAGCGTTCACAGACTTTGGCAATTAATGATCAAACTGTGAAATTTGAGATTTGGGATAATGTTGGATAGGAGAGATATCATAGTTTGACTCCGATGTATTATAGGAGCGCCGCAGCGGCTATATTGTGTATGATATAACGAATGCGATTAGTAATAAATAGTTTAGACTTGCTTTTCTACATTTGTGGTGAAGAAATTTAGATAGATATCACTTAATTACTATGTGTTTACATGTGTAAAACGTAAACTTCACAATTTTTACATAAATCATATTTATCATCTTACCTGAACATGAAAAATGTGTATTTCACTTTTCAGAAGTTAAAAGTAATGTTTAATTTTTTATGTGATATGAAAGATTTGTGCAGTATAAATGCAATAGGTGTTAGATATGTAAATACATAAGAATTGTGAGGTATGTAACTGCCCCTGTATAATATTCCTTTCAAATATAACATAATAGAGCTGAAAAAAGCACAATAAAGAATACCGGCATGTAAAGCCATATTTAGCTCGAGCATAGAAGAAAGTTTCCTTTCTGCTAGTGCCACCTAATTAGTGTTGCCATTTTATGTTTTGTGTTATTAGCTTCGATTTCAGTTAGCTTGCAATGTATGTCTGGAAAATTTTAACTTCCAATTAGTTTATTTATAGTCAACACACATTGATTGATATTTCTACACATTGATATTTCTTGTGTAAATGTGATTAACTTGGACGAGGCTCTTCTAGAATTTATTTGCTTTGCAAGGAACTATTACAAATTCTTCTACATTCCCCATTTGATTGCTTATGAACTTGCTGCCTGAAATGCACATTTTCATCTCTGTTTCGATCATGTGGATATTATACGAGTAAATATAAAGAATTAGTTGTTAAAAATAATAAAGAATTAGTTGTTAAATATAAAGAATTAGTTGTTAAAAATATAAATAAATAAGAATATGAAATATCCAAGTCAACCTTATGAGATAAATATATATTTTTTCACTTTTATTCATCGAAGTTGATGCACAATTCAAAACTCTTGTTTCTATTCAGTTCAACTTTCGACCAGGTTGGAGCTTCTGTTGCATATGATGCAACCAATATGAATGAGCTAAGAAAATGGAATGAACAATATGGAAGATTGGAGTGCTATGTGTGTAAATATTGAAGTTTAGGTGGGAGATATGTAAATAGGTAAGAATTGTGTGTTGTGTAAATGCCCCCACATAACAGACAATTCTTGTGTATTTACATATTTTTACAGTATTTTGGTGTCTTAAATCTATACATGAAAATTGAAAATGGTCATTTATCCAAAAAACAGCTGCAAATCAGCTGTTTTCCAAACGCAGAAACCAAACAGCTACACAGCTTATCCAAACAAGGGGTAGAATGGTCATTTATCCAGAAACAACTTCTAATCAGCTGTTTTCCAAACGCACAAAGCAAACAACCAGCATATTATCCAGATCAGCTCTTATCAGCAGCTTATCTGGATAAACTGCTTATCTGAATAAGCTGTAGCTGCCCCAAACAGACCCTTAGACTCAACTTTTAGTAGGTTTTGCATTTTCTCTTACTCTCACTCACAGTGCTCCATAACCTTGAAAATCTTGTTATAATGCCGGTGTTTCAGTTTTTTTTGTAATTCGGAGTCTCTAGTCTGTTTAATCATCGTCTTGAGATTCTCTTTTCCAACATTCCCTCTTGAATCACATGAATGATTCAGAGTAAAGTGATCGAAAAAGAAGGAATTAAGACAGAGACTAAGCAAACAAATTGAAGAAGAACCTGTAGAGCTTATATGAGGTAAATTTCGTGCGATGTTAAGGGTGTGCGTCTAAATAGGATCGAATCGGAACATTTTGAACCGAATATCCAAGAAAGAATACCTACATAAACTATCAAGTAAACAAAAAATAAAAAAGAACATTTTTGTTCTCGGGTCAAGACCAACTCCTAAAGTAACACATCCCTTTTGGTTAATTACAACTTGGGGGACTCTCAGAAAGACCCTTGATTAGAGGAGCCCTGCTTACATTCAAGTAATGATTAGTGAGAGGGTGTCACAAATGATGGTTATCTCATATAAGCGTCTCGATGCCTTCAACGCTAAGCCACAGGGTAGATAGTGAGTCTTTTATGATCCCAAATGGGTAATGGCTCATCGACGAACGAGTCTATGAAATAAAGTGTCGTCCCGTAGGGTCCACATCATACTTTTAAGACATAATCGGACCATAAGGATAGAGGGTAAATCATCGTATCTCAAATGGGCGGCAACCTATCCATAGTAGGGGTCTATGAGACGGCATCGACGAGCGTCAAAAGAGCGACAGAGCCTAAAGTGGGTAAGCAAAGGAAGAGTAAAATAATTCTAATCGGGTAGATTTAGTCTGGTAAGGATACCACAGATTCTTCATCCCAAGTTATTAGAACCCCAAATCTAACTGGTCGTGAAGATAGTCAACCTAACACAACTAGGGTTGTAAATAAACCGATGCACTCGATGAACAACTTGAACTCCACTCGATGAATACTCGATCTTCTTTGTTCAAATTAGTAAATAAACAAGCTTGAACAATTTTTAAGAGCTTGAAGTTTAAACGAACCGAGCATGAACATAGTCGAACTTATTCGTTTATATTTACAAACAAACTCATTTGTTATTCAATAAGTAACTTATTAAGTACTCGATATTAAGTTTGATAATAACTCACATTACATATATGATATATTTTTTAAATAAAATTTAATTAGGTATAATTTATTTAATTATAGATTTAATAGTAATATATTATTACGTTAATAATATTTTTAGTTTAATTATTATTTATATATTTATTTTATTAATAAGTGAATGATAATTTAGAATGAGATATTTACAGTTAAAGAGAGTTGTAGAATTTTCATAATCTTTAATATAATGAGTTCATTTTTTTTACCATCACACTGTAATTACCAACAATATTAATGTGGATTACCTTATTGCTATTATTTTCTTATTATTATGATTAAGTAAATGATCATTCTTTTAGGATTAATTTAGTTATTCCTCTTTAAAAATTTGAACTAATGTAGTCCTATCAATAAAAATTATATAGCTAATTAGTAAAATTTAAAAATTTTAGAGTTCATAATAATTAAATTAGTAGCTGTGATTATAATTGCAATATTATTTATTAAATTTTTTATATGAAAATCTAGATCATCGTTTGAATTTTTAGCTCGTTTATTAGTTCCTTTAAATACTCGTTCCATACTCACAAACAAATCAAATATAAATAAAGTTTAGATATTGAATAAGTTAAACAAATCAAGCTTGAATAATGTATAAAAGCTTGACTCGGGCTTAAGCTGAACATAAATAACTTTTAATTATACCAAGACAAGTTCAACAAGGATATACACAACTTGGCCTGTCTCGGCTCGATTACAACCTAAACAAAAACAAAGATCGCTTGTCAGCAATCCATGAATTGTGTCGTCCAAGTGAACCTTGGTAGCCCAAAGGTCAAGAGAAGAAAACTTTAAGTCTTATGACCCTATATAGGTAGGAAGGGAAGAGGTGAGAATAATACCTGTCAAAATGGCTAGGAAGCCGTTGGAGTGGAAAGAGAAGAGAGGTAAAACCACAAAGTCGAGACACTCTCACAAAGGACTCACTGCTCGTCTGGGACTGGGAAGCTTCTAACACCCTAAGCGTGTTAGACAACCACCTAAGTAAAAATCTATGTTGGGTCAGTTGGGTTAGCGAAGCACATAGACTTCTCTTTGGGACGTGCAATATGATATAGTTATCTAGTCCTAAGCGTTAAGACCTTACTAGTTTGACTAGGATATGTCCATGCTATGTAATCAATTTAAAATTCGGTTTGCAGGCCATGTAGGAAAGTAAAAATATATTTTAAAAAATCTTGAAATGTTTTAATCATAAATTTTAACTAGTCTTAATCTTTTATTAGGATTTTTGTAAAATATTTATAATTTTAGGTCCTTAGAGAGTGTATGTTGTGACAAAGCACACAACACAATAAAGAAAAGCAAACCAAACATAAAAGAATAAACACAGGCTGAGTGCTGCTAAGTCGACAACATATCCAGAAAAGAAAAAGACGGTCAAGCATCACATATACATGTCTGGTCCTAATTCTATACATCAAAAGATTTAGAATTAAGGTGCGGGATACGAGCAAACAGCTTCTGGTCCCTATTACGTGGTTTCATCCGCCTGACTCTTCGGAACCCGTGCCTGTACCTTATTTCTAATACATAACACAGTTCTAGGGACTCTAAAAAGTACATAGTGAAAGTAAAAAAAGACTCGACCTGCAAAACAACAGTGTTGGCACAGGTTACAGGCATGCAACGTAGTGTACCATGTCCGGTGGGAGGAGAGCTAAACAATTGTTGCAGAAAATGTGCTGGTGTGAATCATTACAGCTCCTCCCTGTTAAAAATGACTCCCTGCAAGAAGACTGCAACTAACATTAACATACTAGTACACATGTTTCACACCTCAGTAAACACACAAAAACCACAGAAAAACGATGTCTGGCTAAGACAACAAAACCAACAAATAACTATATCTAGGACATCGAAAAGAATACCTAAAACCCTTGTCCTAGTCTAGCATACCATCTAGTATATAGTGTTCTAGTCAGCATTTAAGTGAGTGCAGGGTGAAGGTAAATAGTTGGTGCATGTTTTGATGTGGTCGTGGTCCTCTGCCCCATTCTAAGAATCCAAGGATTTTAAGATGTTTCATTAGATACAAGTTAATAAATTTTTTTTAAGAGATT